GTGAGATCCTGGAAGTGAATCTGTAACGGATCCTGATGTATTGAGTTTGAACGCTAGGGCTTCGATGACCACTTCAGTCTCAACAGAATCAAAGGCCTTCTTTAAATCAATGAACGTTAGACAGCAGCATCTTGAGCTCCCAAGAAACCTCAATGAGCTTGGTTGCCGTGTCGATATGGTTGATCACGCTGAATCCTTTTCGGAACCTGGCTTGCTCACATGGTTGTCCTTCATCAAGTGTTCTGCTAGTCCTATTAAGGATGACTCAAGTGAACAGCTTGTAGACGACGAACAACAGGCAGATTGGCCGATAGTTGCCAATGTCGTGGATTGTACATCTCCCTTCTTGTACAGTAGAATGGTCTTGCTGGTTTTCCATTGGGATGGAACCTTGCATTCCAAAAGGTAGCATATGAAGAGCCGAGTTAGTGTACTGATGAGTACTGGCGGCAGATTCTTCAGGTGTTCAGATTCTTCGGGTCTGACCTTGTCTGGGCCGGGTGCTGTTCGCTTCTTTACCGACGAAATGGCGTGTCGGATTTCGGAAGGGAGAACTTTGTGAATAACATATCCATCCTTCGGAATTCGGTATGTGGACAGGTGGACGTGGCTATTGGAGAGATCCGAGTAGAAGTCATGGATAATCTTCTCCATTGCCCTTCTGGAAGATGTGATAGATCCATCAGGACATTGGAGGGCAGTCATCTTGGTCTTGTAGTTGATGAAGGCAGGTGGGTATTGTGAATGCTTTTCCTGCTTTTTGCCGCATTGGCCAGCATTGCTGCTCTTCTCTCTTTGAGGTCTTCCTTTATCGCTTCTCTGTACTGCTTTGTTCAGGACACATCTCTTCAACTTCATCGTTCTCCTTGCACTAAAATACGCCTCAGAGACCTGGGCCCTATTATAACGCTACTGATTCTCCCAAAGAGGAATTGAAAGAGCTATGCTTGGAGTATCACGCGTCACTCGTGAGAGAAGGAATCTGGAGTTCTGAGCTCCGTTGATGATCAAGAATCAGGGACGCTGTCTTGCTTGCCAAGGCGTTGAAAATCAGATGGGCTGAACATGTAATGCGATTTGAAGATGACCACTGGACTAGAGCTGTTACTGACTGGATTCCACATGATGTCAAAAGAACGCGTGGCCGTCCACCTATGAGATGGTCAGACTTCTTCATCAAGACCCTGAACAAATGGTTTGAGGCTTTTCGTGTTCCTGTAGCGAGCAGATGCCATCAGGCTACACTAACACGCAACAGGAACAAATGGAGATGTTACTGGCGTTCGCTCGAGCAAATCGATGAACAACGAGATATCAAGTGATATCATTCTACATAATACTATACTAATAGATATCTTTTTTTTTTCTTTTTGGGTCACACCCAGCAATGCTCAGGGGTTACTCCTGGATCTGCACTCAGGAATTACTCCTGGCAGTGCTTGGGGGACCATATGGGATGCTACGTATTGAACCTGGGTCAGCCGCATGCATGGCGAATGCTACTAGTAACCCCTGAGCATCGCTGGTATAAACTATTTCAACTATTTAAAATAGATGAGAATTAGATGATAACTTTCTGTTATAAGGGATCATGCCTTCTAATATTTTGTTCATTGAAAGAATAAAAAATGTATATCATTACCTTTTACCAAACGCAGAGGCTTTTCTTTCAGATGTGGGTCTGTTTACATTCAACTTTCCAAAGGATGGTTTCTCTTTGCTTTATGAAAACGAAAAAAAGAACAAAACTCTTTTAAATAAATGTTATACATAGAATAAGAACTGTATATAAATGCCAAAATGCTATGTAGAACAAAACCTTATCTACATTATGGTTTCATGTGCCTTTCAGGTATGAGGAACAACTATAAAGTGAAAGAAAAAAATTTTTAAAAAAAGGTTTCCTGAGTCCCACCAGAAGTGATTCCTAAGCACAGAGCCAGGATTATGTCCTGAACACTGCTGGGTTTGACCTTTTTTTGTGACCTCTCAAGAAATGGTCAGGGGTCAAGGGGGTGAGGGGACAACTCCCACATGACTGCTGGGCAGTGTGGGCCTGACGGTTCAATGCCAAGACCAGCCATTTAGGGTTGTTTGGTCAAAGTGGCGCAGAGGGTTACAGTTCTATCCTCATAGGTATTTGTGGGGCCATGTTGTACTGAGAGGAGCTAGCAATAGAAAGCATGTGATGTGACCCTTTGAGATACTCCTGGATTTCAAATGGATATTTGTTCATAGGGTGAGAGACAATTTTAGGGGCTGGAGTGATAGTACAGCAGGTAGGGCATTTGTCTTGCACAGTCACCGACCCATGTTCGATCTCTGGCATCCCATATGGTTCCCTGAGCACTGACAAAAGTAATTTCTGTGTTCAGAGCATCACTAGGTATGGCCCAAAAAACAAATGAGCAACAACAAAGCCCTCCCCCAAACCACACACAATTTTATTGATTTTTTTTTGTTATGTGGGCCACACTGTCTATACTTATAGCTTATTCCTGGCTATGTGTTCAGCAGACCTAGCTGGGGATCAAACGAGGGCAGGACCCATGCAAGCCTCATAACTGTTGTACTATCTCTCCTGCCATAATTTAAGTTATAGACAAAAGACATTAACCAGTATAACCTTTTAGCTCCTAATAAAAATAAGACCTAAATCTTTTGACGTAAGCACTATGCACCAGTAAGCTGATTTTTTTAAAAAAATTTTTACTAGTGAAACACCATGAGGTACAGTTGTAGATTTATAAATTTTTGTGCTTGGGTTTCAGTTATACAATGATCGAGTACCCATCCCGCTACCAGTGCCCATTCTCCACCACCACTAATCCCAGTATCCCTCCCACCCCCCATTTCCCCCCCATCCCACCCTGCCTCTGTAGCAGGGCACTCCCTTTTGTTCTCTCTCTCCTTTTGGGTGCTGTGGTTTGCAAAAGAGGAACTGAGTTGCAGTCATGTTCATTCTATAGTCTACTTTCAGCATGCATCTCCCATCCTGGGAGGATCGATAAGCTGATTTTTGAAGAAAAATATTTAAAGTATTTCAAATTCCAAAAGGGCTCACAGTATACAAATATAAGTGATTTATGAACAGTAACTTGTATCACAGAATTAGAGAAGAGACTGAAATGCTTTACATTAATTTTCACAAATATCTTTTCCTAATTCAAAGAAATGTACTCATAGAAAAGAGCTAGTTTATGAGGCCAAGCAGGTGTCTTTTATCTTTTCCCAGTGAGTCTTGAGGCTATGGTAGTTTGAGAAGCCCCTTGTAGGCTGGTATTAAAACACAGCTTTATCGTCAGCACTAACAGGCCTTCCACAGAGAATTCTAGCTGGCTACACCTCAGTAAATGAAAAGATTAACACAGAGTCTGCTCAGATAAGCAGCTCTACAACATGGGAGGAAAATAGAAAGATGAAGGGGAAGCAAGAGTATTTTTAAGGGTTGCTTGGAAAAGGATGTGGCTTTGGGAATCTATAGAGCAAATGTGATATGAAACATCAAAACAACACGCCCAACTTTCGTCTCCACTGACCTCAGGTAAGGTACCACTGGGAAGAGATAAAGCCTATTATATCATTGTATGAACTATCTTTATAAATATCTTTGCACAAGATGATAAATATGAAATACATACGTTTGAGGGGTATAAAGGCCTTGTTTATTCAAGTCCTGGGACCTCAACTCCTGCATGGAGAGTCGGCCAGCACCACCCGTGGAAACTGAACTGCGCTTCATGCTTGTGTGACCTACATGCATTAAGAAAAACAAACAAACAAAGAAACTCTCCAGACACATTAAGCACCCAACTAGTGCTTCTCTCCTTAAAGAAAAAGGCAGTCAGGTTTTATTGATTCTTCTGGATAATCTACCCCGGCTATCTGACAGTGCCACAAAAAGTGAAGCCCTCACCTGCGACAGACACCGATTTAACTCCGTGAAATACATATACGTTCAGCACATGATAATTGACTATGTACGAGCCAGGAAGCATTCAATTAAGCAATAGAAGGATGAATAAGGTACAATTCCTGCTTCGAATCCTGACCCAGACCACATCACTGGAGCTGGCTGTGCCTCTATTTCCATGAGAAGACAAAGTCGACCCCACCAGAAGGATCTCAAGGGGTCCTTTTCCTTTGACCTCAGAAAATCGAGCTGTTCTTTTTCCTTACGCCCACCCCCCAAACCTTGCCAGACGTCACCAATTCGGACGCTCACACTTCACTCTGCCCACAACAAAGCTCCATCATCCAGTCCACAAAAGCCTCCCTCGGCTGGCTCGGACCCCGGTGAGGCGCCCTCCAAAGGCCCCGCTCGGCCCCTCCTCTGGCTCCCCGAGGCGCCCGGACTCTGAAGCCACTGGCATTCTCCCTGGCGTCGCGCGGCTCATCCCCTCGCAACCTGCTCAGCTTTTCCCCACGCTCACGCATCTGTCCGCTCCCAACGGGCAGGACGGGGCGCTCACGGCCCTCAGGGAACGTCTCGCGTCGCGCCGCCGCCCAGCCCCGCCGCTCCCCCCCCCCCCAACCGAGCCGGGCCGCCCGCCCTTCTCCTTCCCGGGGAAGTCAGGGCCGGCGCGCAGGCCGGTCGCCACAGCTGACTGGGGCTTCAACGGCTTCTCCGGCGCCTCACTGTTTTCCAGAACCGAACCGCGGACCCAAACGCACCCAAAAGGAACAGTCACCTTTCTCCCGGCGTCCCGACACGACCCAAGGAACGAATTTCAGGACACCATGCAACGGCTCGCAGTCAGCAGGGCGCCGCCGCCGCCGCCGCCGAAACCACCACCCGCGCTGCTGTCGCCGACGCTGCTGCTGCCTTTCAAATTTTTAAACTCTCCGCCTGTCGTGACGTCATCACGCCCCAGCGCGCGCGCCCGAGCGCACGACTCTCCGCGACGCTCCGCCCCGGGCGCTGGGCGGGCACGCTGGCCCCGCCCCCGACGACGAAGTCACTTCTGGTCCTTAAAGTGTAGCTCTGAGGACCCGAGCCGTTCCTTGTGCGGGCAGAACCTTCCCAGTTGCCCTGGAAACGCCTTTTCCGTACAACATGGCCGCGCCCGCTGACTCGCGTTTCTCCCGCCAGCCCACACAGTTGCTCCCAGAGGGAAGGCGTCCGGGACCCCAGTCCAGATAGGTGCCGTTCTCCGGAAGCAAGTTTGGAAGGTGGCGTGCACGTCTGTGACGGGGACCAGGTGGGGCAGCAGCTCGTCGCCGCTGGGCGTGCAGGCCGGGAGTGGCCGACTGACGAGTACCACGCGGGCCGGGTTACCCTGCTGCAGGAGGGACTCTCCTTCTTGGGTTTGTTTAGTTTTTGAGCCGTAGGTGGTGGTGGTCCTAGGATGGGGACATCCCTGCAGTACGGGGAACAAGCACCTGCGTGTGAAGCCTGCACTGCAGCTCTTTGAGCTGTATCTCCCCCGACATTTGGACTCTGGAGCATGAGCTGCCTAACCCGGAGAGCGGTGATGAGTTGCACTCTCAGCTACTAAAGACTGGATCCTTCGATCCTGTGATCCTGTAATAACTGAGCCATTAACTAGAATTGGAATTTCAGCAAGCCAGGGCAGATCCGCGCGCAGCCTTTAAATTTGTGGCTAGGGCTTCGTGCTTCTGACGAATTGCTCTAAAAAGTGCACTTTGTCCTCTTTAGACCAAACTTTGCTTTTATCCTTTTTGGACTTCATTGATGACCCTTTATTAATAAAGTTGAACAATGATTCTGGAGGACGCATTGTCTCACTATGGCCAAAACCCAGAGATAGACTTAAAAACAACTCCTTTAGAAATTTAGTGACCTTCTCTAGGCTTATTTCTTTAAAATGGTAAATTTGTCTCGTAAAGTATCTAATGACTAGAACTGTTCTGGAGCCTGTAAATGATCTAAGCACTGAGATTTATGAACCAAGGAGGTTGTGTGGAGAATCCAAGGAGATAGGAGCATATGTGATTTCAGAACTAAGATCAAGTTTTAACCCACTTCAGCTAACAAGCTGAAAACTGAATTTTCAGGATTAAATGATGAACTCTTAAGTTGGAAGTTTATAGGAAAAGATTGCAGATTTTGTTTTTTTATATATCTGTTATCTAAATGATCACGGCCATCCTGTTGTTCGTTGATTGCCTGGAGCAGGCCCCAGCAACGTCTCTTTCTTCCTAGCCCTGAGATTTTTTTTAGAAAGTGCCATATTCAAGGCTCTTTTAGGGTTAGGAGAATGAGACTCATTGTTGTTACTGGTATTTGGCGTATTGGGTATGCCACAGGGAGTTTGCCAGACTCTGCCATGTGGGCAGGTTACATTCGGTAGCCTGCCAATTGGTCCAAAGTAGGAATGAGATAATAAGATGTCACGGCCGTGTGCGCCTCCGGGAGCTGGGTTTTATAGTCTCTGGGTCTTGGCCATTGATGGGATTACATGGCGCCAGGGGGCCAGTTGGTGGGTGTGACCCCTGCCTACTGGAATATGGAGGATCTGGGTGGAGGATGCTCAGCCCCAATCCGAGCAGGCTTGGAGATCTCAGCCCTGGGACCCGCATGCCTATGTTCCTCTGCCGGTACCTTCATGCGTGTGGAGAGTGGTCTCAGCATGGTGGTGGCTGGTTCTGGAGGTCTTCGGCTGCCGGAGCCCTGGTCGGGGTGGGGAGGGAAACTCAACCTGATCCCCTCCAAGGGGCCCCGGCATGAACAACCAGGCGCGGGGGCAGGAGACTCTGCTATCTAAACATGAATTTTAAATTAATTTGTGTCAAGTTTATGTGTTTGCACATTGAGTCTGTGTGCCTAATATATTTTTCCTCAAATACAGGTTGTTGAAGAACTTAATATGAAAAACTGAGTTTGATTTCTAGTCTGTGATTCTTAGAGTTTTTAAATTTTTTTTTAACCTTTCTTTTTTATTTAAAGGAAAGAAATGTCTGTGGTGCTGCAGTTGTCACCTGGATGGTTATTGGATCATCTTTCTTTCATTAACAAGATTAACTATCAACTTTATCGACATCCCACACCTTGTTGCAGTAAAAATGAACCAGCTTCTAGTTTCCTTGACTCTCCTCATGTGAATTCTGTGCCCTCTTGTGGGTCCTCTTCTAAGTTTATTGCTATTGACTCTACCACTAAGCAAGAGAATGAGGATGGAGGAAATTGTGAAATGCCCAAACAAAAATATGTTTTTCGAGCTGAACTGTTTGATGTCCCCAAACCTTATATTACATCCACAGTTGACAAAGAATCCCAACAAAGTATTGAAAAGGAAGAGCTAATGAATAGTGTTAAAAAAGAAATGTCCACTTCCAGTATACGAAAGGTAGAAAGCTTTAAGATATTTTAATTCTTCTATAGAAATATTAATGTATTACTGTGATTGCTTCAAAATATGTTGCTGTTTACTAGGCATGAAAGAATAATGGTTAAGAATTTTTTTTTGGTGCAATAAAGAAATTTTATTATAAGGTGGTAAAAGAAAATGTGATCAAGAGAGAACCTTAGGTTCTCTAGAGGAGGAGAGCCCTGTGAAGTCAAAAGGACTACATTCCCTAAGTTGTGATGCAGGCATTGCCAGGGTAGAACATGCCTGGATTATTTTATGGCGGTGGGGGACACACCTTGTGGTGCTCAGGATTTGCTCCTGGCCCTGTGCTCAGGGATCACTGCTGGTAGGACTTGGGTGACTATATAAAATGCTGGGGACCAAACCTGGGTTGACTGTGTACAAGGCAAGTGCCCAGTACTCTGCACTATCTCTCTAGCCCTGATTTTTGCATCGGTAAATAAATAATCGGTAAAGGCCCTCCCGTTGATCGTCCATTTGCTCGAGCGGGCCCAGTAACGTCTCCATTGGAGACTTTGTTGTTACTGTGTCTGGCATATCGAATACTCTCGGTAGCTTGCCGGGCTCTCCGAGAGGGGCGGAGGAATCGAACTCGGGTTGGCCATGTTGACCGCGTGTAAGGCGAACGCCCTACCCGCTGTGCTATAGCTCCAGCCCGGCAAGCTACCGAGAGTATTTGATATGCCAGACACAGTAACAACAAAGTCTCCAATGGAGACATTACTGGGCTCGCTCGAGCAAATCGACGATAAACGGGAGGGCCTTTACCTTTACCTGATTTTTGCATATGTTTTTTAATTAATTTTTTTGTTGTTGATCTTGGGACCAGTCATGGCATTGCTGGGGGGCTATGCTGTGTTGGGGTAGAATCCAGGCCCTCCTATATGCTAGGCATGTGCTCTGTTATTTGAGCTGTCTTGCCTCCACAGAGCGATTTTTAACACCCTCCTAACATTTGGCCATTCTTTTTTTTTTTCCCTCGCTTTTTGGGTCGCACCTGGTGATGCACAGGAGTTACACTCCTGGCGGTGCTCGGGGGACTATATGGGATGCTGGGAATCGAACCTGGGCTGGCCGTGTGCAAGGCAAACGCCCTACCAGCTGTGCTATCGCTCTAGCCCCACATTTGGTCATTCTTAAAAGACTAGGTTAGTGTATTTAAAAGGCAGGTAAAGATTAGAAGCGCTATAAATTAATCAGAATCTAATAATAGCATAATTCGTTTATGCTTTGTTTTTGCATCAATCATATATCCTTACACCTATTTTATTTTTTCTCTTTTGGGGTGACACCTGGTGATAATTGGGTTACCCCTGGCTCTGCACTCAGAAATTGCTCCTGGCAGTGCTCAGGGGAGTATATGGGATGCTGAGTTTAGGCAAATGCCCTACCCTCTGTACTATCTCTTCTGCCCCATTACACCTATTTATTTGTCACTGTCCTCCTATTGTTCATCGATTAGCTCGAGCGGGTCCAGTAACATCTCTATCATGAGACTTCTCGTTACTGTGTTTGGCATATTAAATACGTCACAGGTGGCTTGCAAGGCTTTGCCGTGCGGGCGAGATACTCTCGGTAGCTTGCCGGGCTCTCCGAGAGGGGCGGAGGAATCGAACTCGGGTCGGCCATGTTGGCTGTGTGCAAGGCAAACGCCCTACCCGCTGTGCTATCGCTCCAGCCCAGCCCCACCTATTTATTTATTTATTTATTTAATTTTTGTTGGTGCCAAAAAATGTTTCTCTACGACATTCTGAAGCGCTATAGCCATACCCAGCGATGCTCATGGCTTACTCTTGGGTCTGCACTCAGGAATCACTCCTGATGGTGTTCTGGGAACCATGTGGAATTTCAGCAGTAAAAGTACATAGTCCTTGCTCTAGATTGCACCGTCTTCCTTGCTCTTTTCTCTGGAGATACTAGTTATGTATCTGATTTTTACGTGATACTCAGGTTAATCATATAGAGCTATTAAAAGTATATAGGATTTTGGGCTGGAGCGATAGCACGGTGGGTAGGGCATTTGCCTTGCATGTGGCCAACCTGGATTTGATTCCCAGCATCCCGTATGGTCCCCCAGCACTGCCAGGAGTAATTCCTGAGTGTATGAGCCAGGAGTAATCCCTGTGTGACCCAACAATAAAAAATAAATAGCTTAATGAATACAAGTATATAGGATTTTTGGAGGCATGGGGGGGTCTTACCAATCAGAGCTCAGGGGACTCCCCTGAGAGCTCCTTGTGATGATTTTTTGTTTTTGGTGGTAGCGGTGGTTGGGGATGGGGTTGTGGTGTGTGGGCATATCTGGTGGTGCTAGTGCTTTAGTGTTTTCTCCTGACTCTACTCAGGTATTAGTCCTAGCAGTGCTCAGGGACCATATTGAAACTGGGTCATCTATGCCAGGCAAGTGCGCTATCTATCTCTTTACCCCTCTCCCATTTGTATCCCCGCTCCCCATGGCAATTCTTGGCAAGTCAGGGTGTTGGGTTCCATTTGAGGGCCCTGGGATGCAGTGCTGCTTGGTTCCTAAACTGCTGGGGACTGCCAGAGGGTATTCAGGGATTCCAGGCTTTACTTGACTATGCTCAGGGTGCTGAGGTCACACTGGGGTCAACCACAAATAAGACATCTTAACCCCTTAGTGTCTCTCCAGCCCTTGGTTATCTGATGTCCTGGTTACATGGACAAGTTCCTCTCTTCAGAAATGAAGGATGTTGAGTATAATTATATCAAATATCCTAATTGATAGTTGAAACTGATAGCTATTTATGCACAGTTTTCTTTTGTTCTACAGATGTCAATGCTGTGTTTCATTTTCTGGTATTTTTTAATAATAATAGTAAATAAGGCTAAAGCAACTTTTTATCACCTGTTAAGTTTGCAGTAATAGTTATTGCTTGGGGAGTAATAATTTAATTATGTATAATAATTTTTTTTTGTGAAGTAAATAGATATTATTTGAAGGGTATTTGAAGGTGTGGATGGGGAGAGAGAGAAAGAGAGAGAGAGAGAGAGAGAGAAAGAGAGATATGCACTGAGGAGAGAACATGGGCTTCTCCAAGGCTGGAGAGAGCTCCTTCACACATCCCAGCATGAAAGCATGATAGTGCACATCTAAAGAGGGGAAGTGTGGGTGACACATATGCTCAAGGCACCACATGTGCTCGGCCACGTGGGCATGAGCAGCACATGGACTCCTTGGGCAGCATATGCACCATAATAATTCTTTTCTCTTAAGGACATGCAGCATGGAAAATGTTTTGTAGAAAGAAAATTATGTATTTCAAAACATCCATATTATAAAAATGGAAACAGAATTTTCTTCTTTTTGTTTACTCTTTAGAAACGTAAAAGATGTATTGATTTCAATCAAGGTGAACTGGATGCGATGGAATACCATACCAAGGTAAGTGTGACTTGTTTATCAGTGACACTAATGAAGCAGTGAAATAAATGGATGTTATAAAAGATATTCTTTGTTTTTTAAAATTTTACTTATTTAGTTTTTGGGCCACACCTGGCGGTGCTTAGGACTTACACCTGGCTTTTTGCTCAGGGGTCATTCCTGGTAGGGATTGGGGGAACATATCGGATGACAAGGATTGAACCTGGGTCAGCCATGTACAAGGCAAGCGTCTTATCCATTGTACTATTGCTCCAGCCCCAAAAAATGTTCTTGAAAGTCATACAACCATTTAATCAAGGTTGGAATTGGAATAATTTGTTGTTAGTTAAATAATACTTTAAAGCAGTTTTAATTAAAATTTTATGTGTTTTAGTTTCATGTATGTAACAATAAAATTATGCTGCACATTAAGTTTAGACATTTTATGTTACGAACCTAATTGTCTAGGTAAAGCAACTTAGAAGACTACTGAACTGTGACTGGGTCTCCTGTCTGTGACATTGTTTGGAGACTTTCTAAATGCAGTAAAACGAAAAAGTGACTTTTCTTTTTCCTCAAGGGACTAGTGTCCATACTGCTTAACATCTGTTTAACAACCAAGAATCTTTTTCTTGGAAAATATTTATTTGCTTATTTTTGATACAGGCTACACCTAGCAGTGCCATCTTTAGGAAGTGGGGCCACTTCTGGAGTTGCTCTGGAAATGATTTGTCCTTGGTCAGTAGTGCTGGAGGAGAGGTACCACTAAGTGGTCCTGGTGGCTAGTCACCATGGTCATTTCCCTCATTACTGAGGGAACTGAGGGATTAATACACTGCCAGGGATGATACTGACTGCCCTTCCCAGGTACCCTAACATATTCTTAACTTTTCATTATAGTATAAAATGGTTTTATTGTTGATATTAATAATTTTTTTTTTCTTTTTGGGTCACACCCGGCGATGCACAGGTTCCTCCTGGCATGCTCTCAGGAATTACTCCTGGTGGTGCTCAGGGGACCATATGGGATGCTGGGAATTGAACTCGGGTCAGCCGCGTGCAAGGCAAACGCCTTACCCACTGTGCTATAACTCCAGCCCCGATATTAATAATTTAATCTATGTATAAATTCAAATATTGAAAGAGTAGTAAAAATCTCCTTATTCAGTAAACTGTTTAAATACTTACAATTCTTACAATGCTTAAATTTTTTTCTTACAGGTCAGGGAAGTGATTATGGATGGGTCATCACAGTTAATTCAAGAAGGTCTCAAAAGTGGCTTCCTTCATCCATTTTCTGAAAAAGAAGACAAATGTAAAAAACCCATTACTTTACCACTCGATACGTGCAGTTTGTCAGATTTATGTGAAATGGCAAAACATTTGCCTTCCCTGAATGAAATGGAACTTCAGACATTACAATTGATGGAAAATAATACTTCGTTCACAGAGCAGGATTTATTTTCACGGGTTGTTGAAAATAATTCTACCTTTACAAAAATGATTACTTTAATGGGACAGCAGTACTTGTTGCCACCAAGAAGCAGTTTTCTTTTGTCTGACATTTCTTGTATGCATCCACTTTTGAACTGTAAGTAATTTTTATGTTTATTTTTAGAACAAATTTTCTAAAAATTGCCGGCATTCTCAAAAATTGAGTTAGGCTGATGTTAAAGTAGGATAAATATTTTAGGATAGGCAACAATTTTCTTAATGTAGTTTCCTTTGAAATTCAGTTTTAGCATGTTAACTTTTCCTTGTTGAAAAATTGAGACTTTTTTGTAATGAACAAGGATAAAAACTACTTCCCAAGACCACAGATAGTTAATGCTTTGTACTTTGTATTCAGTGTACTATTAATTTTGACCAAATTAACTTTATTGAACTCTTCTTCAAGGTAGATACACTTTAGATGTGAATATTTCTAAACCATTCCTAGATTTTTAGGTTACATTTTAAGTTAATTATTTATTTAGGTTATTTATTTAGGTTAAATATTCAAATTTATTTTCTTAAAATTTCTTGAAATATTTTCCTGGATAAAATGAATAGTTTAAAGATTTAAGTCTGCAACCATACAGAGCTGAATTTGAATTTAAATTCTGAAACTTAATTGTGAATCTTTGGACTATGCACCTTACAAAATTAATCCTCAGTTCTCTCATCTATAAAATGGATAGGAAAAACCTACTTTTGAGATAATTTTAGCATTAATGAGATAACCTGCGAAGGTTATCTCTTTTTAAAAATTAATTTTATTAATTTTAATCTACTTGAAAATAGTTTTAAAACCATTGCTTCCTTGTTTTATTTGCATTCTTTTTTGCCTAGTAATTTGTACTTCTAAGTAAATTAAAACTTATATGCTTAAGGATGAGAAGATATGAGATTTCTCCACCTCTTGAGGTGAAACTTAAGAGGTTTATCAAATTCACTTTATCTACTGTTTGTGCATTTTATGGTAGTGTTTTAAGTCATTAAAATAATATAGCACATAGGGCCGGAGTGAATACAGCAAGTAGGGTGTTAGCCGAGTTTGCGGCTGACCCAAGTTCAATTCATGGCATCCTATATGGTTTCCTCAGCCCCACCAGCAAAGATCTCTGAGCACAGAGCCGGGAGTAAGCTCTGAACACCCCAGTGTGGCCCTCAAACAACTCATATATATATATGATTATATTAGTATATAATGTAAACAATATATATTAGCATATGATAAAAACCATTTTTTAGTATCAGCTATTTTATACATGTTGGTAATTCATATTACAATATCATACATTATTCAGGGTAAATGACAGGATAACAAATTAGTGAGAAAATTGTGCTACTTTTTGAATATTTTTCCCTTTATTTTTGTTTTAGATTTTGTTTTTGGGTCACACTCAGTGGTGCTCAGGTGTCACACCTGGGTCTGTGCATAGAGGTCACTTTTTTTTTTTTTTTTGGTTTTTGGGTCACACCTGGCGACGCTCAGGTGTTACTCCTTGCTCTGCACTCAGGAATTACCCCTGCTGGTGCTCAGGGGGCCATAAGGGATGCTGGGAATCGAACCCAGGTCGGCCGTGTGCAAGGCAAATGCCCTATCCACTGTGCTATCACTCCAACCCTAGAGGTCACTTCTGACAGTGCTCAGGGAACCATTATATGGTGCCAGGATTTGAACCTGAGTTGTGGTCACAGAACATTTTATTATATTTTACAGTTGATTCCAAGACAGATTATTTTAAAAAAAAGGCCCTCCCGTTGATCGTCGATTTGCTCGAGCGGGCCCAGTAACGTCTCCATTGGAGACTTTGTTGTTACTGTGTCTGGCATATCGAATACTCTCGGTAGCTTGCCGGGCTCTCCGAGAGGGGCGGAGGAATCGAACTTGGGTCGGCCATGTTGGCCGCGTGTAAGGCGAACGCCCTACCCGCTATGCTATCGCTCCAGCCCTAGATTATTTTAAAATAAAGAGTTAAAAAAGGCAAAACAAAATGAAATCCAAACAACCACATTAATTTGAAAGGATAGGATTAATGTGGCTGCCAACATTTTTTGACACATATATATCATAAGTGTCCAGTTCAGTGAGCTGTATACAATTGTAGCTGTATTAAAAGGTGAAATCCTGTTAAAATCTCTAAATTATAGTTTTCTAGTTAAATTATTCTCTTGGGCTGGAGCGATAGCACAGCGGGTAGGGCGTTCGCCTTACAAGCGGCCAACATGGCCGACCCGAGTTCGATTCCTCCGCCCCTCTCGGAGAGCCCGGCAAGCTACCGAGAGTATTGGATATGCCAGACACAGTAACAACAAAGTCTCCAATGGAGACGTTACTGGGCCCGCTCGAGCAAATCGACGATCAACGGGAGGGCCTTTTTATTCTCTGTGAATAAATTCTACAAATCTTTTTGTTGTATTCCTGTGACTATACTGAATGCTTCAGATTTGAAGATTATTATTATTATTGAGTTGTTTAACAGTACTGCTACCTCTTTATTTAAAAAAAATTATGAGGGGGCTGGAGCGATAGCACAGTGGGTAGGGCGTTTGCCTTGCACACGGTGGACCTAGGTTCGATTCCCAGCATCCCATATGGTCTCCTGAGCACTGCCAGGAGTAATTCCTGAGTGCATGAGCCAGGGGTGACCCCTTTGCATCGCCGGGTGTTACTCAAAATTATGAAAGCACCATGACTGGAAAATTTATTCATAGTTGGGTTTTAGACATTCTGTGTTCCAGCACCAGTCCCAGCACCAGTGTTTTTTCTGCACCAGGGTTACCGGGCTTCTTCCCAACCACTCCCCCCTCCCCAGCCTGCCACCTTAACAGGCACATTTTAAGTTTGATGTTTCAGTTAACCTCTTACCTTCAGTGTTATTAACTCTGTGGTTTGAATATTTAGCGACTGCTCCTTTACACCACTGATGGACTCAATTCCTCTTGACCCCTACTCCCCATTGCTTACCACTGATCTCCTTCCCCCATCACCCGCAGCGTCCCCATGTCTTTCCTTCTGTCTTTCTCCTCCCTATACTCTGTATTATTTTAAGTGTTAAGTGGTCGTGTAGAAAAACAGTGAACATTCTGTAGAAACTTTGATAGGTAATCGTGATGCTGGGCAATGGCACAGCTCCCAGTAGTCAAATAGTCACAAATACAGATGATTTTTGAAATTGTGTTTTTGCTTTCAGGTAGGAAAACATATGATGTCATTGTGATAGACCCACCATGGCAAAACAAGTCAGTTAAAAGAAGTAATAGGTAAGTTTAAATGAATGATCGATGTTTACTATGCCAATTAGCTACACTTTTTTTGGGTGGGGTTGGGGGATCACACCTGGCAATGCTCAGGGGCTACTCCTGGCTCTGCACTCAGAAATTACTCCTTGTAGTGCTTGGGAGGACCATATGGAATGCTGGGGATTGAACTTGGGTCGAATTTTTCTTACCCACTGTACCCCTAGATATACTTTTTTAAAGCTATTTCCCTTTATATGTTTGGATACAAATAATAAAATTAATTAATTCGTAATATAAATTGTGTGAAATCTCTATAACATTGCAACATTTATAGTGACCTTAATTGGTTAATTCTTTTAGCTAGAATATAGATGTAAAAATATCAAGATTAATTTATTAACAACTACAATTACTGACTGAACTAGTTCAGGGTCTTTTTTGTAATACTAAAGCTAACTTTCTTTTTTCTTTTCTTTTCTTTTTTTTTTTTTTGCCTTCTATGGGCTGGAGCGATAGAACAGTGGGTAGGGCGTTTGCCTTGGCAGATGGCCGACCTGGGTTTCATTCCTCCGTCCCTCTCAGAGAGCCCGGAAAACTACCTAGAGAATCTTGCCCACACGGCAGAGCCTGGCAAGCTACCTGTGATGTATTTGATATTCCAAAAACATTAACAACAAGTCTCACAATTTGTTGTGAGACGTTACTGGTGCCCGTGCGAGCAAATCGATGAACAACAGAAGGACAGTGCTACAGTGCTACAGTGCCTTCTATGATACCACATTCTAAACTTTAAAAATATTTTCATTATTTGGGTTGTAGTGATAATACAGCAGATAAGGATGCTTATCTTGCCCGGATTTGATACCTGCATCTCATATGGTCCCATGAACCTATCAGGAGTAATTCCTGAGTGCAGAACCAGAAGTAATACTGAGCAATTATTTATTTATTTTGAAAGGGTTGGGGGCACACTGGCAGTACTCAGGGCTTACACCTGGCTCTGCACTGAGGGATCAGCACATGTGGGATTTGGGGGACTTTATGCCAGGGATTGAACCTGGGTTAGCTGCATGCAAGGCAAGTGCCCTATCTACTATATTATCACTCTGGCCCCCTTTCTAATTTATCCCTTTCTTTCTTTCTTTCTTTCTTTCTTTCTTTCTTTCTTCTTTCTTTCTTTCTTTCTTCCCTTCCTTCCTTTCCTTTCTTTCCTTTCCCCTTCCTCTCTTCCTCCCTCCCTCCCTTCCTTCCTTCCTTCCTTCCTTCCTTCCTTCCTTCCTTCCTTCTTTCCTTTCCCTTCCTTCCTTCCTTCCTTCCTTCCTTCCTTCCTTCCTTCCTTCCTTCCTTCCCCTTCCTTCCTTCCTTCCTTCCTTCCTTCCTTCCTTCCTTCCTTCCTTCCTTCCCTCCCTCCCTCCCTCCCTCCTTTCTTTCCTTCCTTCTTTCTTTCTTTCTTTCTTTCTTTCTTTCTCTCTCTCTCTCTCTTTCTTTCCTCCCTTCCTTCCTTTCCTTTCTTTCCTTTCCCCTTCCTCCCTCCCTCCCTTCCTTCCTTCCTTCCTTCCTTACTTCCTTCCTTCTTTCCTTTCCCTTCCTTCCTTCCTTCCTTCCTTCCTTCCTTCCTTCCCTCCTTCCTTCCTTCCCTCCCTTCTTTCTTTCTTTCTTTCTTTCTTTCTTTCTTTCTTTCTTTCTTTCTTTCTTTCTTTCTTTCTTTCTTTCTTTCTTTCTTTCTTTCTTTCTTTCTTTCTTTCTTTCTTTCTTTCTTTCTCTCTTTCTCTCTTTCTCTCTTTCTCTCTTTCTTTCTCCTTCCTTCCTTCCTTCCTTCCTTCCTTCCTTCCTTCCTTCCTTCCTTTTTTCTTTCTTTTTCTTTTTTTTTGCTTTTTGGGTCACACCCGGCGATGCACAGGGTTTACTCCTGGCTCTGCACGCAGGAATTACCTCTGGTGGTCCTCAGGGGGCCATATGGGATGCTGGGAATCGAAACCCGTGGGCTGCGTGCAAGGAGAACGCCCTACCCGCTGTGCTATTGCTCCAGCCCTCTTTCTTTCTTTCTTTCTTTCTTTCTTTCTTTCTTTCTTTCTTTCTTTCTTTCTTTCTTTCCTTTCTTTTCTTTCTCTCTTTCTTCCTTTCTTTCCTTTCTTTCTCCTTCCTTCCTTCCTTCCCTCCCTCCCTCCCTCTCTCCTTCTCTCCTTCCTTCCTCCCTTCCTTCCTTCCTTCCTTCCTTCCTTCCTTCCTTCCTTCCTTCCTTCCTTTCTCCTTCCTTCCTTCCTTCCTTCATTCCTTCCTTCCTTCCCTCCCTCCCTCCCTCTTTCTTTCTTTCTTTCTTTCTTTCTTTCTTTCTTTCTTTTCTTTTCTTTTCTTTTTTTATTGAATCATTATGAGATAGACTATCACAAAGCTATTCACAATTGGGTTTCAGTCATACAGTATTCCAACACCCATTCCTCTACCAGTCTACATTTCCCACCACCAATTTCCCTAGTATCCCTACCTCCCTTTACCCCCCTCCTCCACCCTCTGGTCTGCCTCTATGCCAGGCACCTTTCTTCTTGCTCTCTCTCTCCTTTTGTGCATCATGGTTTGAAACTGGGTGGTGGCTTTGGGTTGTGGATGTGACTACTGGGGCTTCCAGAAGTACAGGGAGGTGGAGAGCCATAGTCCATCTCGACCAAGAAAGCCTGGAGATTTCAGTCACAAAACCCACATACCCCAATTTTTCAGCAGGTTAATATTTTAGTGAGGTTTGTCCTGAGATGGTGGAATCCGGCCAAGGGCATGGTGGCAATTTTGGATTGTGAGAGTGGGTGGCTACTGGGTGGTCACTTCCCTCTGATGTACTCTATCAGATGTACAGCCTTTCGTGGGTCTGAGATAAACTGTGCCTTCTGATCTATTTTGAGATTTACTTTTGGGTCTCTGAAGAAGGCCAGTGGAAGAGCTTCCATCGTGGCTCTGGAGTTGGTTCGTGGGGTTGACTGCTGGAGCTTTCAGGAGTATAGGGAACTTGGGGAAGGCAGCCCATTCTGACTAAAGAAAGCTTGGGGATTTCAGTCACAAAACCCTGCATACCCGAATTTTCAGTGGTTAATGTCTTGGTGAGGTCCATTTTGAAAAGGTGGAGTCTGGCCTGGGTCATGACATAATTTTGGATTGTGGGTGTAAGTGGCTGCTGAAGACTCTGCTTGGGTGGGCACTGGCAAACCCACTGCCTTCTGATGTACCTTAATTGTATACTGCCTTGTGCAGGTGTGAGATTAACTGCAGCTTTTGATCTTTCCGAAGTTTATTTATGGGTCTCTGAAGCAAGGCCTATAAATGAGCTTGTATAGCCAAGCTGGAGGTGGTTTGTGGGTGTAGCTCTCACATACCTAACTTTTGGCCCTTTAATTTCTTGCAAAACGGTCCTAAGTTGTTGGAGTCTGGCCAGAGGCACAGCGGTGATTTTGCGGTGTCAGGAAACCTGAGGGCACCATCAGGCTGCTCATGGGCTCTCTCCGGGTGTCCAGGTTGACATGCTGACAGTGCTGTGCCCCCTGAGCCTCAGGCAGCAGCAGAAGTGGAGTAGGCAGGGATCAGAACTGGGTCCAGGGCTGCTACAGTATGCAGCCTGGGTACGCTGAGCAGGCTGCAACCACAAGTCCAGCAGAACCTGACCAGGGGAAACACGCCCTCATCTTTTGATCTTCAGACAGTTGGCACTCAGGGAGGATTTCCTCTATAATATGCCGTGGGGCTGGTCCAGGGAGGAAAGGGTGGCAGCCCTGGTCCCCCTGTTCCCTCAGTGTTGAATCACCGGGTACCCACGGTGGGTGCTGGAGACCCTCCTCGACTTTGGGACCTCAACACCCGTGCCCAGCACCACACCCAGCAGTGGTTCCGAGTTGGACTCAGAGAGCCCTATTCAGACACATCCAAACTCTGCCACCGCCTGCTGCAGCGAGAGCTGTGGGAGCGCCACCATCCTCACGCATTCCCCGTGGTCCAGCGCTCTCCCTGAGTGCCAGTAGCCAAGGGTCACCCGCACTCACTCATGCAGCTGAGAGCTGCCATCCTAACTGGAATTCCTTACGTTTCTTTTCAATTCATGTCATTATTTTAGTTTTGTGAAACAAGATAGTTTTCACTGAACTAAAATTCCTTAGAAAGATGTGAGGGGAGAGAAAGAGAGGAAATAAGTACTCAAGAGAGAACATGGGCTTCTCCGGAGTAGAAGAAACAAGAAAGGAAACATGAGGGATGTGTAAACACAAAAAGGGGCAGCAACAGCGCTCAATCTCTCCCACCACCCACATTCGGTAGTCTAGGGCCACTTTCCCCCACCTAGGGGAGGTCGATGACCTTGGGCAGATGATGGAAGGAAACAAGGGCCAAGTTGGTTGGTGTCAGTTACAGTTTATTCCATTCCCATCTCCATTCTCCTCTGATTCTCCTCCTGCTTCTTCTTCCCCCATGCCACTTTATTCTCTTTCTCGATACCCAGTCATTCTCCTTCTCCTCCTGGTGCTGGACTCTGGATCTTGATCCCCCAGCCAACTCTTACAATCTAGTTAAATCCCAAAGCCTTGAGGGGTTGGGGCTTACACATAGGTGTGGTCACAATCACGACCATCCTGTTATTCATCGATTGCCTCGAGCAGGCCCCAGTAACATCTTCGTCCTAACCCTGAGATTTTTAAAAAAATGCCATATTCAAGGCTCTTTCAGAGTTAGGAGAATGAGATCCATCATTGTTACTGGTATTTGGCATATTGGGTATGCCACGGGGAGTTTGCCAGACTCTGCCGTGTGGGCAGGTTACATTTGGTAGCCTGCCAGGTGGTCACAATCAATAGGGGTAAAGTTCTTTCCCTCAGGGGATGCTACTAGGACAGATTCTCAATTAACAGGAAGACCCACCCAAGGGTGGAATCCCATGGGTGTGTTTCTCCTCTCCTTGTCCAACAAACATATAAGCATTCATAATATTAATCATTTTGTATGGACACAGCACTGCACTGCACTGTCCTTCCATTGTTAATTTATTTGCT